CTTGAGGAAACCACTATCTTATGTAGGGTGACTAACATCCTGCTTTCCTCAAGACTACCAATTCAGCACTAAAAATATGTCCTAAGAAACTGTTTAAGAGAAGGTTTCACTGTGTTACCCTGGCTGGCCTGGAACTCACTATGTAGAACAGGCTGACCTTGAACTCAACAGATCCACCTGCCTCTGCTTCTCAAGTATTGAATTAAATATGGCTCTCTCTTCATGAGCACTAGGCTAACCAGCAAAAAGGATGGTCACCCAAATCTCACACCGGTCCCAAGCTAATCTTACCGTACATAAGCAAAGACTCTTAATTCTAGTCTGCAACTTTTCTAATGACCTATACAGAATCTTCAAACTCATTTAGACCTTAATTCTAGTCTCATATTTTGGAAATATGAATTCCTTGATCATTGTCAGCCACACAGCATGCAGGTATCAGAGCACAGCACTTGCTGCTGCTTCTGGGGAATTGCTGGGTGGAAAACCAACAAACTTCACACCAACTCATCATCACACTGACTTTTGCAGTGGGAGGTGTCCTTCCAAGTACATGCAGCTAGTAGTCAGGGCAGAATAGACTCTCAGGTGTCTAATTTAGCAATCCGGGGTCAGCACACACATGCTTCTCAGTCTTGGTACTGCTGACATTTGGAGCTTGATAACTATTGTGGTAAATTGTTCTGTACATTGTAGTAGAATGTTAGCAGCATACTTGGCCCCTACTTTTTAGATGGCACTAGGCTACCAAATCCTCCAGTCATGACAACTAAAAACATTAGCAGACATTGCCACACATTCCATTTTGTAGGAATGGGGGCGATCACCTTGTTTAAGGTTCAGTGTACCAGAGTCTGTTCTGCCCTCTTTGGAAGTTCCTGGTGTCTTCTTCTGTATTTCCTTTTCCATTTAGATGTAAATAGCTAAGCTTTTTATTTGGGACTTGACAAATATTAATTCACCTCAAAGCAGAGAGCAGCACACTCACTAATTCTGCATATGGATGCTAGTGGGAAGGCTTTATGCTCTGTATTAACTATGGGCTTATGGTGACCACAGAAGCAATTGCCAATACTGATCTGAAGACTAAGCATAGAGGTCTCAGGGCTGGGAGATGGCTAATGACTTGAGTTTGATCCCCAGATCCCACAAGGTGGCAGGAGAGAACAAACTTCTAAGAATGGTCCCTTATGCGCACTCAAAATAAATACTAAAAATAATAAATGAGGGCTGGTAAGCATGGGGTGGGGGTAGAATCTTCCATTTTGTCCTTCACCAGAAAAAGCAGAAAGCTCCATGGTTTCTTCCTTATTCCACCACAGCTTACACACTACCATTTGCCCTTTAAATCAAAGCTTATGAAGTAAGGCAAAGCTAACAGTTCTTCAGACACTGTTCCTCCTCTGCTGCCTCACTGCGAAAACAGTATGCTTGGTCTTAATTGATTTGGGGTTTGCTGCTTGACTTCTGAGAAACAACAGCAAATGGCAAAGGCTCAAGATGCTTATTTATTGGGAAAACAAAAGGAGTCCTAGAAAAACATGTGTCATTTGTTATACTAGAGAATTCTACAGAGGCAAGCCTCTGTTCTTCTTGGAACCTAGAAGATGCTCTAAAAATAAAGAGAAGTTAAGCAATGAAAAGATAAGGTTCAGGAAATGCATCCACTCTGAAAATGGTTCGCAATACCATGTTTCTAATTTTAAAAAGTCTTAACTTCATTTGAGAGAAATAAAAACTTAGGGGACAAAGCGTACCACCTATTACTTGGCTTCAGAGATTAAGAGTCAGTGAGTAGAAATTTCAAAACAATTGGAGCATCACTGGAGACAAATTAGATGACCACTCAAGCCTATTTACCAACAGTTGCCATGACATACTGGCCACACCTAAACTCCTGGATCAAGAATTTAGAATTCTGATCTCAGATGCTTGTGAAGAACATCACCACTGCCCTCCCATCCTGTGAAAGAAGGGGGTAAAGCATGGAAAGAGATAAGAGGAGGGGAGGGAGGGAGGGAGGGAGGGAGGGAGGGAGGGAGGGAGGGGGGGAGGGAGAAGTAAATACAGAAAATCATTTACACCTTCAAATAGGTTAGGGCACTCTGGAAAATGACACATAGTGCTGGCACAGCCAACCTTTGGAAAGGGTCTGTAAAGCTACAAGTTGTACAACTGAAGAATTCCTCTTACGGCAGCAGGAACTTCCTTGGTGTGTGTGTGTTCTCAATGTAACTAACAAAACATGGCTGAGAGAAAACAACCACCAGCACTCCTGAGGCATATTTCAGCTACAAGCCATAGTCCGAAGAGTTCAAAGAGGACTGACTGCCTTCTTCCCTCTAAGCCCGCAGCTTACCTCTCTGCTGTGCTTGCAACGTTCTCCTTGCCTGAAATAGTGCTCCACATTGCAGATGTTAGGAATCCGAGCTTCCCTTTACAGCATCTGCTCTAACCTCAAACTACAATTAATCTAAGTTCTAATGCATAATTTAAGACTATAAATGCTTCCCAATATGCAGAAGTGTGATGTAGGCTACATTCCTTGGCATCAAGTTTGGGGTCCCTAGCTTGTTGGTAACAGTGACAGCTGTGCTGGTAACCTAGACCTTGGCTGGTTTCTTTCGATGGTGCCCCAGATGAAGCTAGAATACAATTGCACAACTGGAAAAATATTTTTTGGCTCATTTGATTTTGAAAAAAATTGAGTGTGGAAAAAAATGGGTGGGGTCACCCCCAATGGGGAATAGGCACTGTCCTCAACCTCAGCTGAGTTCTGTTGCTGACGTGAGCATGACTGCAAATTGCCAAATGCTGCTTCTCTCTATGATAAAAGAGCCAGGCAGCCCATCTGATTTACCGAATAAAGCTCGTTCAGGACCTTCATCAAATCATCTTGGAGCTGCTGGCCAACTTCTTTACTCTGTAAAGAAGGAAAGAAGAAGGAAGGTTAATTGAAAACCAGAAGGAGATGGGAGGTGGCAGCAAAGACAAGAGCGGCACAGGCTCTACAAATGACACAGACTCCATAACAGCCCAGTATTTAACCCAGCAAATCAGATAATCAATTATGTCAGATTACTCAGAGTTTTAATGAAATGGGCCCTTTCTATAGCCTAGTAGAGACAATCATGTAGGGAAAATGGGTTACAGTCCTTGAGTTTTCAATTGGTCTCAACAGCAGTCTTGAGAGCCACATTCTACCTAGCAACTGCAGTGAGGCAGACTGTGCTTTCTCAGATATCTGAAGGCAAACACTCCACTGGATTACTAAGGAAAATAAGCTGTTCAACAAGATTAGACTAGGAAAAGGACATAAACATTCGAGGGCTTCAAAGACCCCAAACTCAGCAGAAAACTCCAAGCAGACGGTACTGGACTTGTAAACTGACAGAACACTGGCCTCAGCAAGCTAGGATCCATAGGACTGGTCTGCACATTTCTTCTCCATAGAAGGGAAAGCACCTAAAGTGTATTTGTTTCTTCTGGCACTGATGTTAAGACCTACAGGTCACCCAATTCTCACTTGTTTCATTTCTTCCCCAATTTCCTGAGGCAGTGGTTCTTCAATAACACTGTCTTGCAACAGCAGTTAGTACTACCTGATTCTGATAATATATGTGAAAGAGTTTCCAACAGACTAATTCTGGGCAGCAGTAGCTCTCTGATCCCTTACTGCTGCCTACCCTAGTTTGGATCTAACCATGAAGAATAGTAGAAATAGAAGAATGAGGAAGCAGGAAAGAAATGTATATCCTCTATACCAAATGTTAATATCAAAACCGCAGAGAATGAAAACAATTGGCTATTGTTTTCAATACCAAAAATTCAGATACCTAAAACAGCTGAGCACACTTTTTATTTTTCCACACTGGGAAATGAACTTGGGATCTTGTAGGTATTAGGCAAACACTCTACCACTGAGCTGCATCTCCAGCCCTTAAATGCCACTCATCACAGCTCATTTCTGAATCAAGGGAAGAATTCTTTCATTTACACTGCTTTTTCAAGGTGTGTGTGTGTGTGTATAAGGGGGGGGGGGTGCCCCCCCCCCCCCAGAGGGTACACTGAGGGCAGAGAAAACTTGCCTGAGTCAGCTGTCTCCAACATAGTTTCTGGGCATCAAAACTCATGGTGTCGGGATTGTTAGCAAGTGCCTTTATCCACTGAGTTATATCTTGCCAGCCTGAGCCTGAGCATTTTAAAAACTGTTTTACCACTTTACAATTAAGTTCTTAGGTTAATTTTTTTTCTATTAGGGTATTCATTATGGGATATAACATAGGTGTGACTTCTATCATGAATACTTATGTGTTTTGTATTTGATAATTTTAAAAATGGGGTGGAAGGACCACAAATTAGCAACTACAACAATTACTGCTAGTCTCAGCTTTCCTATCACCTGCTGTGCCTTTGGTATTTTCATTGTTGTGTTGACAAAAGACCTTTCAACAAGAAGCAATTGAGGTTACTGAGGTTACCGTTCAAGAAGGTGTCTTCCATCTTGTTGGGGAAGGGATGGTGGCAGGAATGAGGAAGCAGGCAGATCACAGAGCAGAGAATGAGCAGGCTGAAGGCTTGTCCCCCATAACCCCCTACTCCTAAAGGTTCCACAACCTCCCCAATAGTGCCATCATCTGGGGCCAAGTGCTCAAACACACGGGCCCATGAAGGACATTTCATATTCAAACCACAGCATTTGCTGTACTTTGGCTGCTCTGGTCAATTTCTCCAGGCTTAATTACTCTTCTGTAAAAAAAAGTCTTTCTGTCATATGGTAAGACCTGGAACTTTGAAATGTCTAGAGGAAAACCCAGTAAATATATCCCAAGATATATGTAATGGCAAGGACTTTCTGAAAAGAATTCTAATAGCACAGAAAATAAACTTAAAAACTGAGAAAGTGCCCGGCAGTGGTGGCGCATGCCTTTAATCCCAGCACTTGGGAGGCAGAGGCAGGTGGATTTCTGAGTTCGAGGCCAGCCTGGTCTATAGAGTGAGTGCCAGGACAGCCAGGGCTACACAGAGAAACACTGTTTCGAACGCCCCCCCCCCCAAAAAAAAGAAAAAAAACCTGAGAAAGTGGGTAACATCGAATTAAAAAGACATTTTGTATAACAAAGAAAACCACCAGAATGAAGAGAGCCACAGAATGGGAGAAAGGACTTTTCCAAGTAACCATCTGGTTATCTTGAACCTACAAATACTTTCAAAAATTAAACACCCCAATGCCCAAATCATCCAGTCAATAAATGGGGTATCGAACTGAACAGATAGTTCCTACAGAAAGAAATACAAGTGGCCAGTGTTAGCGTTCCTTCTAGGCTCCACTCCACAGTTACCTGGCAATAGCCATGTATGCCTGCCTCACTATAGAAGGGGCTGTTTGTCAGGCAAATGTGATAACCACTACAATACGTTATCCATCCCATGTGCAGTCACCGAAGGCAGACACTGATGTGGATGCTGAAAAGTACATGCTGACAGGAGCCTGATATACCTGTTTCCTTAGAGGTCTGCCAGAGCCTGACATATAACAGAGGCGGATGCCCACAGCTAACCATTGAACTGATCTTGGGATTCCCAATGGAGAAGTTAGAGAGAAGTCTGAAGGAGCTGAAGTGGTTTGCAGCCCCATGAGGAGAGCAACAATACCAACCAACCAGAGCTCCTAGGGTATAAACCACCAGCCTGCCAGCCTGGGAGCACATAGGGAGGGGCCCATGGCTCCAGCTGTATATGTAGGGGAGGATGGCCTTGTCAGGCATAGGTGGGAGAGGAGGTCCTTGGTCCCTTGAAGGCTGGATGCTCCAATGTGAAGGCAGGAAGGTGGGAGTCGGTGGGTGGGGGCATATCCTCATAGAAGCAGGAGGAGGGGGGAAGGGATGGGGGGTTTCTGGGTGGGGGAAAAATGGGGAAAAGGGATAACATCTGAAATGTAAATAAACTATTCAATAAAAAAAAATGGGGGGGCTGTTTGCCCCCTCCTCACTCGCTTATCCTCTTACTCTCTTACTCCCTGCCTCTTCTCCCTCTCCCCACATGCTCCTGGCCAGTCTCTCTCTCTCTCTCTCTCTCTCTCTCTCTCTCTCTCTCCCTCCCTCCCTCCCTCCCTCCCTCCCCCCTTGCCTTTTTTTGTCTCTACTCCCTCCTCAACTCCCCATGCCTTAAATAAACTCTATGCCATACTCTATCAGTCGTAGGCTAGCCCCTCAGTGGGAAGGGATGCTGAGGCATGGGCCGGCAGAGACACCCTCCACCTCACCATATCTCACTTTATCAAACATATCCTTGGCTCTTCTCTTTTTTTTATACAAAACACAACAGCCAGTAAATATTTGAAAAATGTTCAAGATCCTTAGCCATCAGAAAAATGCAAATTAAATTGGTTTTAGATTCCATCACATCCCAGTCAGAATGGTATCATAAGAAAACAGTAACACCAAAGCTGAGATCTAAAAGCTACAGTGGAGCTATATAACCCAGCTATACCAGTCTTGGATGTACACTAAAGGACTGTGGGTAAACACACCAGGGATACATGTACATACATGATTATTGTTGCACTATTCATAATAGCCAAAAAATGGAACGAGAAATGAAATGTTGTACATATACACAAGGAAAGTTTATGTAGTCAAAAAAAAAAAAAAGAAAGTAATGACTTTCGAAAGAAAGTAAGAAAAGGCTGTAAATGAAAACAATGTGAAGTGAATAAGACAGACTCAGAAAAGCAACCACCATGTTTGTCCTCTCACAGAGAACCCAGACTTAAAACCGCATATGTAGGTTATGAAACTGGAAAGGGCATCATGAAAGGGGAGGGAGAGATTTAAGAGAGCTGGGAAGTAGAGTAATGGAATACATATCATAAGAAAGCAGAAGCTGGTGTTAACAGGGGGAAGAAAGGGAAACAGCTGGAGGGAGGAGCATAGGAAGAACTCTGAGGGAGGGAACAGAGAACAAAATACAATGACGCACATGTATGAAGATGCCCGGATGAAACTCATCACTCTATATGCCAGCCTAAAATACTAATTTAAAAAAAAAAAGACTTTTTCTTACTGTTTTTGTTTGGTTTCTCTAATGCTGTGACAAAACACTGATCAAATCAACTTGGGGGGAAGAAAGGGTTTGTTTGGCTTACATAGCCTAGGCAATGTCCGTCACTGAGGAAAGCCAGGGCAGGGATTGAGGAGAGACCACTGGGAGTGCTGCTTCCTGTTAGCTTCCAGACTCACTTTCAGCTCTATTTCTTATACAGTCCAGGCCTACCTGCTTAGGAATGGTACTACCCACAGTGGACTAACCTCCCTACATCAATTAGCTATTTAAAAATGTCTCACAGACACGCCAAGGACAACCTCTGAGCTCCTTCTTCCCAGTTGACTCTTTAGGTCTGTGTCAAGTTGACAGCTGAAGCTTACTATGACACCAACCTTTACCATTCTATGGTTCTATGTGATGTTTTGCCTGTCTCCTCATTGTTAAGAAAAACATTAAATATTAGTCTTTTCTGTCACACCCATTTTGTTTACAAGGAAGAATTCAAATCTTCTGTTTCTTCTCCACCTTATAAAACCTTTATGTAAATGCTTTTATCCCCTACTCAGTAAAGCTTTTATTCATACAAAGGCTCTGCTGCATTCTTGGCTCCTTTCTTATTTCCTTTGTGTAGATTCTTATAAAGACTAGCCAATCGTGAAGGACTGAGGTAGAATCCTGCTTTAGAATAAAAACCAAGAACACTTCCTGGCCTTGTGTGCTTCATCAAGAATAAAATTTCTCTTGTTTACTCTTGATCAACAGTTTTGCCTGATTGAGACACTCCAGTTGAATTGTGGTCATTTTCTTTGTGGCTCGAACTTATTTTTAACCGTGTATCATATTAGAGCCAAGAAGACTGGCTTCACAGCAGAGTAA